AACCTTAACTCCTAAGGACCTGCTCGGGCAGGGACTGTCACTACCCACCGCCCCCACTCGTGCATAGATGGAGGCGAGAGAGGGTAGGTTGTCCGCTCAGGACCTGCACAGCTAATAATTAGCAGAACCAAGGTTCACAGCTGGGAATTCTGGCTTAAGAGTTTGTGCTTTTAACCGCCATCCTCCAGTGTCTCTGAATAGGCAGATACGTGGCATTCTATCATTCGGTAAACTCTATCAGCTACATACTTACATATAGACTCCTGGAAGGGTTTAGACGAAAACATTAGAAATGATTGCCAGTGTGGAAGAATTATAGACACCTTTTCCTCTTTTTTGCTTAATTGTATTTTTATACAATGAAAATGTTGCACGAGTAATATTTTGTGGGGAAATAGATTTTATATGAGTGCAAGTTTTCTTAAGGGAGCAGCAGGGAGCCTGGCTTGGACCCCACCTCACAAACACTTTAATTCCAAGGCAGAATGGGGATCTGTACTCTGTTCCTACCAGTTCTTCTGGCAGGCTCCTCTTCTACAAGTGAAGGATGCGAAAAGCATGCAGATTTTCCCACAGTTTCCCACATTTCCCAAACCCAGCGACATTTTCTTTGTCTTGCTGCTTCTGAAGCTGCAGGGACTTCTTGCCGACCACCATGTCTGCGCAGGTCGGGCTCCCCTGTCCTGTAAACAATGTCAACTCCCCTCCCAGGCCTTTTTCCTGACTCCTCCTTCCTCTTTCTTTGTGGCATCTGCAGGGCTCCGGCATTTTCCATCTTGTTGCCATGTGTACTTCAGGGAGCAGATCAATTCCTGCAACTTTGAGTGCTTCGCCCAGGATACAAAAAGCACCAACATTGGGCAGCGAGACCAGGATGCATCTTTCATAACGATACAAGAGGAAGATGCACCACAACCACAACACATTAAACAAACTTCTAGAAATAGTAGGGAAAAAATAGGAAAAAAAATAACTCAAGAGCATATAATGATCACAAACACATATGCACCTAACAACAGGGCATCGGGACATATGGTGCAGCAGTGGCCAGAATTACAGGGAGAAATGGAACAGAACAGCGAGCTCGGAAGCACACACATGCCCACACACTATAGGGGAATATAATGTACATAAATAAATGTATAGGATGTTTACAGAAATAACTTTACAGAACAAGTGCAGGACCTCTGTAGTTAAAACTCGATTTTTTTTTTATGAACTTAATTCAAGGTTGGAATAAACAGAGAAACATACATGTTCCTGAGTGGGAAGACGATCTCATACAAATGTCCATTATTCTGAAATTAATCTATAAACTTATAGGTATTCCTATAATGTTTTCTGCTTGTTTTTTGATTTTGGTTTGGGAGGTGAAGATGAGCATCATTTTGAAAGTTCATATGGAAGAGAAAATATGTGAGAATTGCTAATACATTTGTGAAAAGGGAAAGCTAGTACATGTATCCTTTATCTGTAGGTATGAATGCTTACTGTAAAGATTGTTATCAAAATAATGTGCTGGCAATGGAAAGAGACAAAGAGATTAGTGGAACAGAGATTGATGGATGGGCTCCAAGTATATATGGGAGCCTAATCCATCAAAAATGTGACATTTCAAGGTGGCGGGAAGGAGAGGTATTTCATCAATGGTGCATAACAGATTCTAGAAACAAGAGTTCAATTCACTGCGTTGCAAACATTCGTGCTCGCACTCCAGATGGAATAGAGCTAAACATAAACATACAAACTGACAGCAGAAAATTTTTAACATTGTATGTTAAGACCCATAAGTCTGAAGGAAAATGTTGCTGACTAAATAAAAATTTTAAGTACCTGGCAAAAGACAAAAGCATCAAAAAGTATTTTGAAAAAGCATGTAAACCAAAGCCTCAAAAAAGAAGCAGCAGGGAGAAAATGTATGCAGCAACCCTTTAGCCAACGAGGGGTTGCTAGCCCTACTAGCCAAAGAACTCCTCTCGTGATAAGAAAAACAAACTCTTATTCTCGTATTCAGTAACCTCATGAGACCTCTCTTGTTAAATCCCTTTCGAAATGGAATTCTGACCCGTGTTTCCTGCAGACACTGGGCCTCACGTGCACCTTTCCAAGTGTCAGCAACTCATGGGCAGATGCTGGGTTCCAGGTGCCCAGGGAGTGGGCCCAGGAGCAGTAAGCCCGCGGGGTGGCTGTCGCTCGTTGTCTGAGCCTGCCGACTACTCCTGTCCATCTAGACTCATGGTCACACGCCCAGTGCTCTCTTTGCCCCGCAGTGGTCCATGTAAGTGACAGGGTAGCTTCATAGAGCCCCAAACTGGGGGATTGCATGGTATCAGCATCTTATTTTTGTAACATGGGGTTATCACTTCGAATTTCTCCTTTATCTGTCACTTCTCCTCATGTTCCTGGAGGAAGCATCGTTCTCTGGTTGGGAGGTGTGAACAGCCTCTGAGGACACGTGGACACATTTGGGGCAGCCCTGGGCCACAGGGTGATGCTCTCAGGGTTCCTGTCACAGCGTAAGGAGGCCAGGAACCTGCCTGTGGTGTGCACGTCCATCCCACCTCAGCAGTGCCAGGGTAGCCCTCCTCTCTGTCGGCCAGCGGACAAAGGTGAGTGGTGGTCCTCACCGAGGCAAACAGGATGTGTTGGGCAGAAATCCTTGGGAAGTTTTCTGTTTTTTCATTTGGAGGCAGTCAGCCAGAGCTTCCAGCCTGGCTTCCAGGGCTGGGGGCCATGTCTGGCCACCGATGGGGAATGTAGCCAGCCTACTTCTGGGAGTGACACCCAATGACGTTCTGAACAACCAGGGACATGCTCTGCTCTTTACAGCTGTGTTTGTCTAGTGGGCGCCTGGGACACATCTCCACGACTCCTGTGCATGTGACGTGGGGAAAGTGATTTCCATGGCAAAGCCAGCATGGAGAAAATGGGGCACAAAGCTTTCAGCAGGACTCTTTGTTGCTGTTGCCTCAGAGCCAGGGAGTGGACCTGGAGGAAACCTCCCCTGTGTCTCCTGGTTCTCACTGCATCTCAGCGCCTGTGTGCCAGGGATGCGTCAGAGAAATGCTGCTTTATGTAAATTATACCCATCATTTAATTTATAGCTGCTTCTTACCATGCAGGCCTCACCGGGCACGTTCCACAGGTGGGAAGTCAACATTCAAAGCGTTTCAGTGACTTGTCCAGGGTCATACAGGGTCCATCTTAGAAAAAGAAATTTGGAGCTTCTTTCTTCATCCAGGCATGTATTTTGTCATTTTACATATGAGCAAGTTTCCGCTAATTGACCCGCTGTCACTGAGAGCGTTACTAGTATTGCTCAGGCTGATGGAACAGAAAGAAGGACGCCTTTCCTGGGAGGCTCAGGGCAGCCTAATTTTTATTCCTCAAATCTGGTTGTCAAAAGATGACATTTTATCTCATTTTTATCAACCAATTGAAGGTCAGCAAGAGACTTGGGATCAGAGGTCAAGGGTTACTAGCTAGGTTGACAGGGGTCACAGTGATGTGACCTGGGTTTGTGGTCCTGCGCGAGTGCCGCCTGCCCACCCCGTGGGAAGTCACCTGCCCCGCTGACCTTACCCTGCCCCACCCAGGGCCACTGCGATCCACAAAGTTCTCATCAATCGGGAAAGAAAAGAGGAAAGCTTGGTTTATCCAATTTAAACAGCTTTCCTTTCCCCAAAGATCAGGCCTTTCATGCTTTGGGGGGCTGTGTCTTTCCTTTGACTAGATGATGGTTCCAATGCATTGCACTGTGTGTGACGTTTCACAGCCCCTAAGACCCAGGGGGTCAGAATGCCTCACGTCTCTGGGCTGCAGGGGGTCCTGGAGCAGAGGGGAGGGAGACCCACCAAGGGCTCGCTTGGCATTAGGGACGGGCCCTGTGTAATAAGACCCATTTCCAGGTTTTCTGGCATGACCCCAGATAACAGACCATATGACCAGGACGAAAACCACCGGTTAGTATTTGTTGGAGGTGTGTACATACTGGGGGTGCCAAAAAATGTACAGTTTTAAGAGATATTATCTGTGTGTTACTTTTCAAAGTTGAATTGAATTAAGGTAGCAATGTGTAGAATGACATCCGCTCAAAAGATGGCGTTAATCAAATGAATGCAAGTGTCATTCATTGTATTACAATTTTAATGCAGTTTTTTCCTTCCTTAAAATGTGTATACATTTTTTTGGGCACCCTCTGTACGTGTGTATATATACATATATGCACATATCTATCCATCTATCATCTATCTATCTATCTATCTATTTATCTATCTCTATCTATCTATCTATCTATCTATCTATCTATCTATCTATCTATCTATCATTATTGACAGAGAGAGAGAGAGAATCTCTCCAGGCACAGAGGTTGTTTTACGGAAAAGTCTCTCCCCCTCCCCCGCTTCCTCTCTGTGTCTCTCTCCTCCCCCAGCAAGCCCTAACCCCAGGGTGTGTGCTCTTTGCAAACACCTGTGTCCCACGCAGCCTCTGCCCAAACCTGGAGCTGGGGCTCCCCAGGGGAGCTTGGGGTTCACAGTGCAGCACTGTCCTAAAACGTGCCTTTTAGGGGCCGCGGAGAGGGGTCTACTGACCCAGGGACAGCTGCTAGTGTGGGACCGGGCTGCCCTGGGCCTCGAGGGAGGGCACAAACCCGGCCACTGGGAGCTTTCCTGGCCTGTCCCTGAGCACTGCTGGGAGGGGCAGGCGGGCAGGGCGTTCTGAAGAAGGAACAGTCACACTTAATGGCCATCGCCTAAAGCAGCCCTTCACATCAATGCGGTTCTGAGCAGTCAGACCCGAGTGACCCTGGGCCTTGAAGACAGAACCACCCGCTGCACAGGCAGGTGCCTCCCTCCCCCAGGCACCCCTTCTCTCTTCTCATTAGCTGTTCCCTTGAAGGACTGACTTCCCTCCGGAGGGAAATTCCTGAAACCCAACAGTTGACAAACCCACACACCCTCCGGAGGGCTGGGCACCAGATAAAAGGGGACGTCCACTGCCGAGCACGGGGACCTGCTGCTGCCACCGGGGGACCCAGCAGAGCTCAGGAACCTGCCGCTGGGACCTCAGGAGGGCGTGGGGACCTGTGTCCGGACCCCAGCAGAGTGGGGACCCTGCCGCCCCGAGCCCAGCGTGCGTCCCCCGGGACCTGCTCCCGGCCCTCCCCAGCTGTGGCCGGCGGCGAGTCTGCACGCGAGGCAAACAGGTTCTCTGAGTTTTTCTGGTTTGCTCTCAGCTCTCCGCTGGACGATCTATTTCTGTCTTTCCTTCGGGAAAAATGTGCTTTGCCAATGACTAATCACGGCCCGTGCGGAGATGTTATCAGCTGTCACCTGCACAGCAGGACCCAAGCCCATGCGGAAATGAGGATATAGACGGGTAGGTGGTGGCTGCAGCCCCACCTGCCAGCACCACCTGCCTCTCCAGCACAGCTGCTAGAACACGGCTGCTGCCAGGGCCACCTCTGTCCCCGCCACAGGTCCTGGGCATGTGGCCATCGCAGTGACCGCCGGGGCCCCCTGAAAGGGCTGACCCAGGTGTGTGAGGAGCAGCTGCCTCCCCTCGGGCCAAGTGCGAGCCCTGGATGGAGCTTGGGACCTTGACCCCTCATGTCGGTCCTGCTGACGCTGTGTGTCGTGCTCCTGCCCCTGGCGACCCCAGGCCGAGGCGCCCGGCGATGGGAGCCCTGCACAGGTAAGGGGGTGCAGCACCGGGAGCCAGGAGGGGTGTTGCTGCCTTCTAACATGATTCAAGGTTCCCGTGCACCCAGGACAGGGAGCTGTGGGCCGGGCAGAGGTGGAGAAGATGAAAGGGAACAGGAGACAGGCGATGACAATAGAAATGCAGCTCTTTCACTGCGAACAGGGTGGGGACGTGGCTCAGAGCTAACCAGCCTCCGTCTGAGGCCCTCACATGTATTTACCTGCTTGGCCTCCGGGGAAAGGCCTTACACCTGCGTTAGGAATGACGCCTGCGAAGGACACGGGAACCGCAAAGCACAGGCCACCCCCGGCCTGGTACCGCTGTCCACGAGAAGGAGAAGGTGGGGACAGCCCCAAGCACACCTTCTGGGCTGCCTGCCGTCTGGGAGCAGGGAGCCCCGCTGGTGGCCGGCAAAGCGGGTGGGCAGGTTCTGCCCCCTCCTTTCAGAAAGGCCTAGCGGACCTGCTAATGACCACAGCATCGTTGCACCTCTCTGGGGTTTCCGCCAAGAGACTTGGCTTATCAAGCCTAACATTAAAAAGCAGAGTGACAGGGAAGCAACCTGGTGCCTAGAAACCCGGTTGCTGGACCGGGAGCAAGCAACGCAGGCGCCAGGGGCCTCGGCAACAGTAGCAGTGTGGGCGCCAGGGCTGATGCTGGGGCTGGCAGTGCGGGGGGCCGGGGGGGGGCGCTGAGAGGGCTTGCTGAGTGGTTCTGGTTTTGTTTGCAAATACTCATCCTTGGTTCCCTGGAACCAGCTGAAGTCCCCTCCATGTTATGACTCTTTGCTCTGATGGCATTTGGTTCCCAGTGACGTTACCAGGAGACGAACAATGAGGACTTAAGTTGGAACAATGACCTGCATAGCTGGGGCACCCCGTAAAGGTCCCCAGCCACTACCCCTGAGCAGCCAGGACCTTGGGGGGGCGGTGCAGGCGTGCCGCTGCGTGGTGTGTGGGAAGGTTTGAGCCCCCCCCCCACTCCTGGGCTCCGGCACCTGCCCTGGTGACAGCCTTGGGACATGGGATTAGAAACTGTACAGGAACCAGGTCAGCTTGTCAGAAACCCCCTGGCTTCAAGCGGTCGAAGGCTGAACTCCATGCTCAGCGCCGAGACCAGCGCGTGGGGTCCAGGCCAGCCCAGGAGGACCCCTTGCAGCGCCAGAGCCCACTGTCCTCCTGACACAGGGAAACAGCTGTTTCCCTGGTTGGGGATGAGTCACTGACATGTATATTCAAGTTCCGTTCAGCACTGGGAACAGAATCAACCTGCATAATAATAATAAAGGTTATTTATAAAGCCCGCCCCCTCTCCCCTGAAGGTGTGTTGCAAATAGTTAAAAGATGACCCAGTTATAAATACCACAAACTAGGGAGGAAAGATAAAAGTCAAGTAAGTAATATTGAACTACATTTGGAACGCTCCCAAGACACTTGCATAATGGCTAGTCAGGATTTCCAATAGTTAAAAAAATCACTTTGTATTCAGTTTTGAAAGCACGTGACTTCACGGTGCAGGATTGTGTGTGTGTGCGTGTGCGCGTGTGGGAGTGTGTGTGTGTGCGCGTGTGTAGTGCAGGGGCCTTGGCTGTGACACCCAGGCTTTGAAGGCCTGGCCCCCAAGTCTGCCCAGTGTGGAGTGGTGGCTGACAGTCGCCCTGCGGGTCACCGGGCAGTGGTGAGGGCTTGGGGCCTGTCCCGCTCTCTGGAGGGAGCCGTTCTGGGGAGAAGGCGCTTTGATTGCCAGCACTATGTCATTTCTCTGCCCTGGTCACACTCACTCCCTGGTGGCAGGTTGCAGTTAAGGTCACTGGGAGGCTGTGGGAGACCCCTGGGCTGGGATTTCCAGGCGTGCTCACCAGTGGGGCAGTAAAGAGGAGAGAAACGATACCCTAGAGATTCTGGGCGAAGGCGGGAGGCCTGAGTGGCCCAGGACTTGGGAGAACAAGGGACGATGGCTCAACAAGACGGGATGTGGAGTCTGTAGGGCTTCAGGTTCAAGGTTGAGGACCACGGGGCGGGCCGTCCACAGGGCCTGGGGGTGGAGGGAGGGCCATGTCTGGACCGGCGGGCCACTTCCGCTGCGTTGCCAGGGACTGGACAGCAGGAGCCTTATCCTGGACGGCTGAAGTGGGCAGGGGAGCGTGCAGGTTTCGCGGGGGCACCGTGGGCAGGGCCAGCCAGGCATGCGCACTGACGAGCAGTGCCAGGCGTTTGGCCGCTGACCAGCAGCTGCTCACCAAGGCCCTTCTCAGGCCGGCTCCCGGCTCCCGGACGGGAGGTGATGGGGAAATGGAGGCTGACGTCTGCTCAGTGTGTGGCCGGGACGCTGCGCTGCGGGCTGGGGCACAGGACGGCTCCTGGTTTAGCCTCAGCCCCAGCCCGGCGGAGAGGCTGCGGCAGGCGGTCAGCACCGGCCGGCCGCCAGGGGGCAGCGGGGAGGTCGGCCAGGCTCAGGGAGGGAGGGGAGAAGGGGCTCGCGAGCCAGGAGCTGGGGGCCCAGTGCGCGTGGGGTGAGGTGAACCCCGGCGTCGAGTGTGGTTCTGCGGCGAGATGCCTTTTAGCCTCTGAGGCTCAGAGCGCTCAGCCGCTCCCCAAGCCGGGCCAGCCGCCTTGGGACAGAGAAGGCGAAGTCCGGACCAAGACCCTGCCAACTCCTGTAGGAAGCCCCCCGATTCCGGGTTGCATAACGCGTGTGGGGGTGTCCTGTGGGGAGACACCTGGGTGGGCATGTTCTAGACAGAGCTCTCCGTCAGGACAGGAGCAGCCGCAGAGGGTGGGGCGGGGGTGCCGGGGGAAAGCCCCTGTCATCCATTCCAACTCAGCCTGTCCCCTCGGAGGGACGGGGGGCCAAGGCGGAGGGGTCCTGGGGAGCCATGGCGGCAACAGCTGGACCCAGTGGGCCGGGGCCACTGACGGACTCGGGGGGCTGGGACGGGAGAAGGGGTGGGGTGGGGACTCGGAAGGGGGGTTGTCAGGAGAGCAGTGTCCCGCCTTCCGAGTCGTGCCCGCGAGTGTCGTCTGTTACCTGGAAACAGAGTGGGCTCCTCCCCGCGGGACTCAGGGCCTAACCCACGCAGCACCCCTCCGCGCAGCACCCCCTCCTTCCCTGCTCCATTCGCTCGCACTGGGAACCCAGCAGCAGGCAGCCAGGCCCTGCCCGCCGGGAGGGCGCTTGCACGGGTCAGACGCAGCTCTGTGAGCGGAGCTGTGACCGCCCCTGGGCAGCGGGCTCCAGGAGATGGGCCTCCAGGGGGGAACTTCAGGGCGGCAGGACAATGTAGGCAGAGGCCACGGGCAGGTTTCGGGGG